TGATGAGTGGTGTATGATGAGTGGTGTATGATGAGTGGTGTATGATGGGTGGTGTGTGATGAGTGGTGTATGATGAGTGGTGTATGATGAGTGGTGTATGATGAGTGGTGGTTGAACAGCTGTTGAATGTCCGTAACACGGAAGTTTTGCACACTAAACTTCCTTTGACTACTACTACTACTGCTACTACTACTCCTGCTACTACTGCTTTACTCCACCTCCACCTCCTCCTCTTCCTCCTCCTACTACTACATGTACTACTTGAAGAGCAAACGTCGCATGGAACGGAACGGTCCAAGCCACGGGGGGACCCCCTCAATGAATCAAACACTTAATTACCTACCGCCTGATTATTGAAAATTGATGAAAAGTGATCGAGGGTACCTCCACCGCACAATTACTGTAATTTTCAATAGATTTTGCTTGGAGGCCCCCTAACACATTGACTACTCACAAACCCCTCAAGTGATTTCGACTCCCCTGGTAGCAAGCCCCATCCAGTAATCCAAACATCTCGCAACTCCTCCTTGGTGGCTACTTTCCTGGCTCGTTTTTGTGGGGCTGCTGATGCATCCCCCAGCACCTTCCCAGACCTATGTTTTCCAACTAAAGTATAATCTACCCTTTGTCCAGGGGCATACCCCTGCTGAAATATGTTTTGTTGCCTGGTTTTGAGTGTGGTAGCTGGTTTCCTGCCTGGTTTTTGTGAGGCTGGTGATGCATCCCCTTGCACTTTCCAGGCCTATGCTTGCCAACTAAGTTAATTTACCCCTCCTCCAGACGCCAACACCCCCTGAATTCATTTCCGTTGCCTTGTTTTCAGTGTGGTGGCTACTTTCCTGCCTGGCCTTCAGCTGCCTGCTTTTTGTGGGTCCCCTGCACTTTCACAGCTCCTCCAAAGACCAACCCCCTGAATCAATTTGTGTTGCCTGGTTTGAGTGTGGTCGATCAGACACACATACATGTACATTTGAGCATTGTCGTAAACCCCTATGTCATATAATTTTCTTACGCTCCTGCTTACGCTTTTCTTACGCGACCACAATGTGAGCTTACGCGCCGCCGATAATCAAGAAGACCTTACGCAAATCTTACGCATCTGCATTTTCACACATGAGAACCATACTCCCAAGGGAAATGCTTACGCGGAGGCTCCTTTTGAAGGTACCTTTCTTGACAAGGTGTATGCTAAGAATCTACCAATGAAAACACAACCATATGGCAAGCTTACGCAGCATGCATGTCTCACAACTCCCTTACGCAACCTTACGCTTTTCAGGTTTTTTGCTTACGTCCAAGTTCCATATGACAAGGCCTTTACTTAGTTCATCTTGGGAGGCTTTTAGCCTTGCTCATTTGAGATTCAGGCACCAAAAAGGGCATGGACCACTTTATACGAATGAGGACAATTGATGGTTGAACTCATCTTGATTATTACTGTGTATACAATTGAGGGGTGTGCAACCTCTCCACAACGACCTCTTGATTATTTCTTCAGCATATTGACCCTAGCTTGATCCAAGGTATACTGGGAGCATGCCAATTAATCCGTGTCATTATCTGACTTCGGGTTCCACCAACATGTTCAACAAATTGTCGGAGAGAAAAAGAACAATACTTGAGAAACACTAATTGTTGGGTCAGCCCCCCTCCAATTGATGTTTTAGTGGATGGGTCATCATTAAAGTGTCATTCCTTGACATTTTTGCTTTGCTACAATCTAATTCGAACCCTCCTTCGTTTGACGATGCAAGTGGATGCATTCCCTTTCATCCCTTCCCAAATCCATAAAATTATGTGCGGATTCCAATTCCGGTATTGTGACATGTCTGGTGATTTGTTGTCAAAAGAGATTCTTCAAGATCTTGTCCCGGGCCTTTCACAATCAAAGGTGCCCATTGCTTAGCCTTTTCCTTTTCCTGTGGCAAGCAAACCATGCACAAATAAAGTCTGTCTTGAAACCCAAGAACTGCCAATGGTCTTTTCTTCGCGTGCATGCCTTTTCCACTTGTGCAAGTATTCTGATTTTAATAGAACTGAACCTTGAGCATGACTTCCATGTTGAACCGCTCTAAATCAATTCAAACCCGGCTTGATTAACACCTGTAGTTGCCATCCAAGTGCACATCATGATTCTTACTTTGAATCAAATTTAGAAGCACACTTCGACTCAAACACCGAAAACCCAAGGTCAGGTCCTCAAGCAACAGGACTGCAAGGTCTCGTCTCTTTAAACAATTGCATGTTTAAGTCGATTGAATGATTCCCTCTGAGGATGTTCGGCCATGTCAGTTGCTCCTCCGGAAGGCAGATTTCCATGGAGGTGAAGAGGGGATGAGACTGGCAGCAATGGCGAAGGGCTGCAATTTGCACTGCTCTGGCCGCTGTTGAAAAAACCATGGGGTGTTAACATTGCAGCAATGACTCACTGTTGAAAATTGATACATATATATATATATAGAGAGAGCTACATCTATTTAATTTAATTCAATGTGTTTCAGGGCTACCGGTCTTTTTGATGGGTCCACTGCAGTAACACGGCCCGGCCTTCCTGGAATGAGATCAAGCTCGCAGCAGAATTAGAATACAGCGAGGCGATACAAAACCATTACAGCAGTACAGTATGGTTGGAAAAATGCATGCAGCAGTACAGTATTAATACATCGCTGCGCATGCTCATCAACAAGAGGTTGGACAAGGCGAACGCCGCGACCAAACATAGAGGAACCAAATATACATGCACCTCCCAGTCCATTGGCATCCACATCCCAAAATTTATCTTTGGAAAAACAGCCTCGAGCTGCAAGACCCAACCACTGCAAGATTTAAGTTGCGAGAAGGCCGTCCGTTTCGTCAGCCTTTCCGCTGTCACCCCTGCTACTTGGCATTCAAGCCTTTCCAGGTAAGGAAAATGTGTATTCAAGTATATATATATATATTATATATACATATTCATATGCACATATTGGGCTCAAGGTTTGGGCTCAAGGTTCAGGAGGCTCAAACTGGCTCGATCCTGGGCACTTTGCGAGTACACCTTCGACACCATTGTCACAGAGGAGGGTGGCTCGGCAGTTCTCGCGAGATGGACTGGCAACACTTGCTGCAGCACTACATGCAGGAACTGGATTTGGGAAGGCCGCATCGGAGAAGGCTGCGTCTGCCGTTTGTGCGCCTGGACCAAGCCGAAGCAAGGATTTGCTCCCAGGTCCCCAGCTCCTAGGCCCCAAAACAGATGGAAATCGACACGCAGTGTTACACCACCTCCAGGACTACGGAATGGAACAGGACACAAAGCCTCCAAGCTCCAAAGGCTCACTGGAGAGCTTCTTGTGTCTTCTTGGGACAAGCTGGACTCGGGGTTGCAACAGAAGCTCACAGAGATTGGCATCATGCCACCTCCACCTTCTCCAGATCCAGATCTAAAAGATGTGCTTCGAGACAACCTCCGGTCGAGGAGCTGGTCGAGAAGATCAACAAGCCGCAGCCACCCACCGAGAAGGATGTGGCCAACAAGTTGACCAGCAGGTATCCACACTGCGGGACTTGTCACACGGGAAGCAAAATCGATGCCACCAAAAAGGCATTCCAGGACTTGCTTGATAAGATGAAGCTCATTCAGCCCAAGATTGAACAAGAACAAAGTGAGCTCAACACGACGAGCGCCGCCTACCTGACCCTCGTCAGCAAACAGCCTGACCCTGTGCAGCTCTCAGAGGACGCTGACATGAAGGATCCTGTGCCAGAAGCTGTGGCGGGATTCATCAGCACTCTTGGTGTAAGTCTCACCCAAGAGCAGCAAGACCAACTTAAAACGATGCTCAAAAGCGTCCTCCAAGCTGCACAGAAAGGAGTCCAAACGACGAAGGGGGACGAGGACAAGGACAAGTCTTGTGGGTAACAAGCCAATGATGGCTTGGCAGCACTCAAACACTATGTCTTTGACTTTGAACCAAGGGACTTGCCATGTACACACATGGCTCATGGGGAATGTCAGTCAAGTTGCAGGGATTTGGACAAATTCACTGATTCACAACTTCTTGAATTTTCATCCTCAAGCTCCACGTCGGGCTTCATCCACGAGCTGTGGGCTTTGGAGAACTCTCACATCTCTGGCAGCGCCAGGAGGGGAGGCACCGAGCTCTTCTACCACAGAGCGGGTCTTCACTGACACCCTCATGGACATCGAGCAAATCCCTGAGAACAAATTTGAAGAAGCTCCAAGGCTGCTTTTCCACATCAGCCAAAGAGACCTACACCAATCCTGTCAGGCTTATGCAGAGCAGCCCACTAAGGACTATTGCTCCCTGACCTTCAACTTTTGAACACTTGTTCATCGACAGCTCGGTCTGCAAGGAGATCCACCTCACATACGGGCCAACACGGCCTTGATAGCACAGAACTTGACAAGCGTCGCGGCCAATCCCAAGAACTTGTGCTTTAGGTGTTGAAGCTGGCTGAGCAGTTTTGTCACTGAACCTTCCTTGATATGGGCTTCCTCCAAGCCCACCTTGCTCACGGACATACCTGAACTGGCTGATGTGTGGTTTCATTTTGATGACTCTTTGCAGGAAGACGTTGGTGAGTTCGTGGGTCATTTGTGGACCATTGCCAACCCCCAAGGAATTGGAGGCAAATTCTTCCACAGAAGGATGAACGGGGTCCTCAACAAGTTCCAATCAACTTGACCTTCCCTCCGGTCACACCAGAGCCGCTCTTGATGACCTCATCAACATGTGGGCGGATGAAGGAGAAGGTCAATACCTCTATGGCTCTCCATCCAGCATCATCCTCCACATTCAACGTTTTGAACAACAACAGGAATTATGGACCAAGCATCATAGAAGACTTGAAGTTCCCACCGATGTCTACATCCCGTACTCCAATGATGGCATCTTGATCAACAAGGCCGGCTACAAGATCGTTGCAATGATCCCCCATCATGAGAAACCCATGAGAGCGGACACTTTGTGGCCGTCCATGCCAGTGACAACACATATACTGGATAGCGGATGACAAACACTTTCCCCAGCCAGTACAGGGCGCCACAGAACAGCAAGAAAGAGAAATCCTACAACTCTGGCTTGTTCATGAACTGTGGGAAGAAGATCAGATCATGCAAGAAGCTGAACCACCGTCCAAGAAGATCAAAACTCACTAGGTGAACATTGTCATGATCCCCAAGAATCTCAAGGTGGAGAGGCCCATTGCACTCACCTCCTGCTTGTACCGGCTATGGAACAGAGTGCGCAAACATGACATTGTGAGCTGGCAACTTTCTCTAGACGCCGCCATGCCCTGGGACTATGCAAGGCCCAAAAAAGACTGCCTCTCCATAGCTGTTGGTCGGATGATGCGCAGTGAGCTATGCAAGCACAACAGCATTCACACAGTGACGTGTTTAGCAGACCTCAGTTGCTTCTATGACACGGTCACCCTTGACCATCTCATCCGGCCAGCAAGGGAGCTTGAATATCCTCTTCTACACTTGAAGTTGGCGATCGACCTGCGCAGAGGACCACGGGTCATTCAGAGGTCGCCAGTGATCCGCAGCACTACCAGAAGGGCATCCTCCAAGGATGTCCTCAAGCTCCAGCCATTGCAAAACTTGTCGTGTACAAGCCGCTCAAAGAGCTGGTTCAGCAATATCTGAGCAATATCCGGCAGTTCACTTGCAGACATGGGTGGATGATGTCTCCTTGATGTCAGGGCTCAGGTTGAATCCGGACAAAACGGGCTTCATCACAAGCTCAAAAGAAACCGCCGCAAATGCTCTCAAAGGGCTCCTGCAGCCAGGTGACCCTGCTCACTACGACGTCTTCCGCGACCTTGGGATTGATGCAACAGCTGCAAGACGTAGAAGAGTGACGCAAGTTCGCAAAAGATTCCAGAAGGGCAGGGCACGAGCAGGCATAGCCCACCGCCTCAAACTCAATAGGTCGGTGAAATACAGACTCCACAAACGAGCGATCCATCCAGTGATGACCTGGGGGCCACAGGCAAACGGCTTGGCGCCGCAACGACGTCAACAAGTCAGGGTGATGGCGGCCAAAGGACTGCGTTTGCAGAGGTCTGGCTCAGTTGACATCATCTTCGACATGAACAAAAAGCATCCTGACCCACATGATCCCATTGTCCTTCGCCGTGTTCACACTGTCTGGAAGATATATCACAGCTTTGACGAAAGCAAGCAACACCTCTTCAAGACAACATGGAACACGGCACTTGGAGCCCTCCTTGGAGCCAAACATCGGTCACTGGCCCGCTTCAAGCTCTTCAGGCCTACTTGTTGGGCTAAGGATTCGACATTCAAGATGGTCAAAAGTGGCATCGTCCAGGATATGCCTCCATCCCTGACTGCACTCTGTCCTTGGAGCTCATCTGGTCCAAATTGGAGTTCAAGCTCAAAAAAGAGTTGCGCTGGCAAAGACTGATGAGATTGACCAGGTACCAGGGCTGCGACCACATCGGACAGCCATTGGATTGGACCATCAGCTTGAAGCTCCAGAACACAACAAGCGATCGGTTGGCTACAGCTTTCCATCAAGGCACCCTTAATGGCCAGGACGGCCATTGTCCACTATGCGGCGCTGAGCTCACCTTTGTTCACTTGGTGTGGGAGTGCTCGTACTGGCAAGGCAAGGTCAAAGAACTCCCGGATGAATGGAAGGATAGAACCAGCCAGAACATCGAGCCAGAAATCTGGAACCGAGGCATTTCTCAAGGCTATGGCAAATGGGAACACTTGCTGCCATGTCACATTGACCACGGTCATGCTGCCATGCTTGCTGTCTTGACATTGCCCCCACGTGTGTCGAAAAGAGACACTGTGTAGCATCCATCACAGGGATCTGTCCCGAGGAGGCCTCGAGACAGCGAGCCACCTTGTACGCCCTCAAACAGCTGGCACTCCATGCGCTAGATCAGACTCACGTTGGCGTCTCCAACATGCAAGTCTGGAAAGCCTGGACACCATACATGGCAATGGACAAATTCCCTGACCTTCATCAAGGCTTGGAGTTTAAAGATTTTGAGATGGTAAGGCCACTTCTCTTTCTTGCTCAACCTCAGCAGGAAGAAGGCATGCGCACCAGACAAGCGCTCCAAAAATCCATCAAGAAGCAGGCACAAGCACGAGCAAGAGAGGAAGCTCCCACCGAGTTTCTTGCCTATCAAAAGGCCATTGATGAAGACCTGGGTGACATCCTCCTGGTCGCAGCTGAACCGGTGGACGTGATTCTACGAGGCCCACACCACTACATCAAAAGGGAGACGGAAGGGGCAACTCAAGAAAAAATCCCGTTGGTCCAACAGAAAAAGGATTTGATTTCCTTCCTTTTGCAGCATACGGCATACGGATCATCAAGGTCATGAGTGGCAACCCCACAGGAGTGGAGCCATCTGCGGAATGTGCCGCAGTAGAGTCCATGTCAAAAGCATGCTACAGGAGATCAAAGACGCCATGAACAAGGAATGCACGGCCGGCTGCTCTGAGAAGCCAGTGAAGGCTCCAAGGATGACTGACCATCATCCAGCAGCTCATTGAGGCACAAAACAAACCTCAGCCTGGTGTCCCTTTCCTCAAATTGGAGAAAGCATACCTACGCTTTACCCAGTGCCGTGCCTACGCCTTCATTGGCGAGACTTGCAGAAGTGGGCCGCTCCCGCCGAGCATGTGGAAGGGACACCCCACTCACACCATGGCGAGAATGGGGATGAGCGCTCAATGCACGCGTTGTGCAGCGCGGCGGGGCCGGACCGTCGACGACGAGGTGGTGATCTCGAAGGCCTTAAAGGCCCCTTGCCATGTCAGATCACAAGATCTGAGGCTCCTTTTTGGATGAGCACATCTTTGCACAGAAAAGGTCTGTGCAAAAAAACAACATATATGCACATATTGGATCATATTGGAATGCTTTTCTGGTTGTAAATTTGGGGTGGGGTCAGTTCAATGCAGTTTCTGCACAAAGCCTTCATCGCTTCGTAGCGCTTCTTGATGAACTCCACTTGGTCCTAATGACAGCGTGGCCTTTTCAACTGGGGAGCTGGATTTCAAGCACCACACCCTTTACAGTATTTGTTTTTTCGAAACGCGAAAAACTCCGATATTCAGGTGTTGATGACGATTGGTTTGGCAGTGGCTAACCTTTGGACCCGTCTTGGCACTTCGCGAAAGGAATGAATTGCAACTTCGCATCCCAATCTGTCTTGTACAAAATCAAGTTCCTCAAGATACGACACGGCATTCATTGTGTGGAGCCGAAGGCTTCTCCCGCGAAAGCTGCGGAGCCGGATTCTTGCGGAAAAGCAGTTTTTGGCGGCCTGCCTTCCCAACACCCAGCGCAATATGGTTTGTTTGATGGATCCAAGTATCCTTAGCTCAAGCAGAATTCTTTTCAATGTGCTGTTCAACAATACATGTAAGTACACGACGTGACAATACCTGCCCAATCTAAGGTTCACCGGTCGTTAACGCTAGTTGGACAAACACATATCTACTTGGACAAAATAATGACATCTCATGACATCTTCAGTTTTTTTGCCTTCCACATCAAACCAACAAAGAATAGAGCAAAGACATGGGTCTATCCAGCCCAAGGCCACAGTCACACACTCACACACGCGAAGTCAAGCATCGGGTTTGGGCAGCTTGCCTGTCTTGGTGAGATACTCCCAATATTGGCGGCTGGATAAGAACTGCTCACAGACATGCCTCGGTGTTAAAAATAAGCGGACAGTGCTGGTGCACAACACGGCTAAGCCCAGTTGAACGGCCTTCAATGGAAGCATTTTGGGGAAGAATGGACCCACAACCCACAACCCACAGCAGCAACAAGAACAACAACCATGTTTCTTGTCACACTCCTCAAAAAAAGGCCGTCTGCAATCCGGCTTGGCCAGTTGGACCCAAGGACTCCTGCACTGTACCATGCGAAGATGAAAGAAAAAAACAGTGTCTTCATCACGGCCTCGCACAAGCTCAAGATTCGAGAAAGATACTCTCAGCAAGATGACATCCCTCTCCATCCATCAGAGCCCTGGCTCTTACAGCCTGCTTGCATCGTCCAGCTGCGGAACAAAGGCAGCTGATAGTGGAGCTGTCACGCCCACCACCCCATTCTGAAGGCTCCGAATGCTGGCCGAGCATGGATGGGCCTGCGTCTTTAGTATCCAATCCAAGCACTGTCCAAGCACATAGACCCGGCCAAGACCCACTTTCAAATTGGTGTTCCAACAAACAAGGGCTCTCGCGGTGGAAAAACAGAGCTCCCATCAGCGTGACCTATACTCAGCAACGTCCAACTCAAAGCCGCAAGTAGGGGGTCTATATATGAGCTGGCACACTGGTGCAATGGGCAAGTGCAAGCATCCAGTCAAAAACGCACTGAGAAGGATCCACATCACGACAAGCCTGTTAACAGTTAGCGGCTAACTGTTGAGCCTAGGACCTGAGGCCCTTTCTACCAAGGTTGGAGGAGCTGATGGGAATGCAGCCTTTTTTAGAAGTTCGAAGACATCGAGCCAGGATCATGAACCTCCACCCCATGTCCGTGGAAAAGCGTGCTTCCATCCCATCAATAGTGCGCAATGGCCATCCCATCCTTTGCAAGAGTGAATTCGCCTGCGTCTCTCGGCCCAAGTTTCCCTGCAACGACGAACGCAGCTATACTGACTTTGTGCAAGCGAGGTTGCCCCGCTGAGCTACGTCTCAAAAGATTTCCCTCAAAGCTCGAAGCCGTCTTCCAAGCAAAAAGAAGCCCTCTGCAACAAGGCCCACAACAGCCCAAGAAGACTGGCATGCGGCATCTGCGTAGCACCAAGCACGGTATGTAGTGGTCAGCGCCATGCCAACAAGCTGCTCTACACATTGGGATCGAAGTTATGTCACCTAGGGACCTAGTCCATCGCTTCAAGCTCAAAGTCACCATCGTCATCGTGTGAATCTCCACCAGCTTCGAGTGCAGTGTCTCACGGAAACTCATTCGAGGCACTGCGCATGGGAACGGCCACCTGGTCATTGCGAAGAGGGATCGGAAACTGGCCAAGTCATGGAACCTGATACAGTTGTCCTTCTCCGTGAATGAATGCTTGTTGCATTGTGGCAATCTTCTGCTCCACATCCGCAACCACCACCACCACCACAACAACAACAGAAAGGACAATAACAACAAGCACAAGAAAGAATCACCGTCAATAATTACACAACTTCTTACTTTGCCTCTAACATTAAGACTTTGACTTTTGAAAAAAAATAAGAATACTCAAATTGAAGGAAATAAATTGCATACTTGTCCAATTGCACACATGATGAGTTTGATCACCACTCACACGGGGTTCAATCCGCCGCGATGCTTTTCAATCCCTTTCATTTCTTCAGTTACATAGGACGCTACTAGGGGCTCCTGGCCTGACTACTGGGAGCATTCTTGCTACTAGTATACTACATTGCTTCCTGGCCCTTCCCCGCGTCTGCCCTCTGTGTGCACTCCAAGAGGTGGGAATCTGAGATCTACAAATTCCACATAATCAAAAAAGCAAGGGATCTTTGGCCACTTTGCTGGGAGCGGGCACGTTTTACAACAGCTGTTTGAGGGTTCTGGGATTGTTCCGGATTCCAAACATCAAAGGCTGACACCAGGCTAACATCAGGCTTTCAGAACTAGGTCATGAAAAGGTACTTTCCTCAAGACACACGAGTGCAGAGTGTAGTGCGCGGGTACTGTGCCCTGCCAGCTTCAGCCAAAGCACTCCACTTTATCAGTGGTCACTGTCCTCAGACTCCCATCCGCATTCTTAACCTCCTTTGTGTAGTTTGGCCTTGAAACAGGCTTGGCTGCAGAACTTTGTCAAAGGAGCAAAACGTTTTCTGAATTGAACATGTTGGTCCTGTGGATTTTGTGAGATGCATAGAGGGTGGACACATACTAAGTGGATTCAAAAGGTCCTTAGGAGTCCTTAGTGATAATTAGTTTTCATAAATGGGTGCTGGGAGTATGGAGTGGCGATTCAACTACTGTATAGCATGCATGTCTCTGTGTGATGCAACTGATGGTGGCATGTCACATCATGCATGACGTGCCATTTTATACCCACACAAAGCCTTGAACTCTGAGTTTATGGCTCCATGAAGCCTGCATGCCCAGTGCCTGTGTGAAAGAAAGACACTGCAGCAAAAACGAACAAATTTATATATTTTTGTGGAGTCTGTGGAGTGCTCATGATGCTGAAAGTTGAATCCCATCATCTGTCGAAATCAGTTTCGAAGAAAAATTTACTATGCCAACTCACGCGAGTCGAACAAAACCGTGCAGCTACAGTAGTGCAAAGCAAGAAAAGGATACATGCTCTTGACTTGGCCATGGTTGCTTTGAGATCAAAAACCCGCACGAGTCTGAGGGCGAATAATGTATAGATATTAGATAACCTATAAATATATCATTACTTGAGAAGGGAAGGGACGAAAGCCAGCCTTCGTAAGAAGACATCAATATGGCTACGGGGGGTGAATTCGAGCGCGCACTGGAACCGCTGTCAGGCATGGAGACAAAGAAGGCAAAGGTGGGAAGTCGCAGTAAGGGCCGATATGACAGGCTCTTATTCACAGGTGGGGGGTGGGGTGCCCCTTTTCTTTTGGACTGAGGGGTGCTTGCCTGCTGTTTGTCTGTCTTGTCTTGTAGATGGAGTGCTGCTAAAAGTGGACCGAGGAAAGTTTACTGCCAAGATCATGTGATTGGTGAAGTTCGGGGAAAGATTACCGTTGTTATGGAGGGAAGTCGACATTGCAGTGACGTCTACTGCTGCTGGGCATAGAAAGCAGCATGCATAGGTTGGGGGGGGCTTTTTCCTTCGGCTCAAGGGCGTCTTCAAGGTGAAAAAGGGCACCCCTAAGGAACTGAGGGGCGCTTGCCTGCTGTTTGTTATTCTTGCCTTGCTTGCTTGTCGCGGACTGCATTCTGTTCCCTCTCCTGTCCTCAACGGATGACGTCCTTCCTGACGTTCCCTTCCACTCTATTGGCCACGAGAAAAGTGATGACTGAGAGGCGCACACTTCACTTTCCTTCACCACTTAAAGCGGGCACCCCCAAGCAATTCAAAGCTTGCCCACTGCACTCGGTTCCCTCTCCTATCCTCAACGGGTCACGTCGTTTCTTGCAGTCCCGTCCACTCATACCAGCCACAAGAAAGCAGAGTGTTGGGAGACGCGCATCTCACTTTCCAGAAGGAGTTCCAACCACTTCTCACGTCCCGTTGACCCCCCTTTCCTGTCCTCAACATGAACTCCCACCCTGGTCGAAGACTGTTTAAGTAGCCTCCTGAGCCCTTCGTGATGCTAATGATGCACTCTTTGGCGTCCACTACATCACTTGCATCAAGACACCCCAAAACCATACATTCTCACAGCTTTTCGGACCGCCTCTTTTTTTGGCTCTCCCCCACCAGGCTCTGGGTTCACCATACCCAAATTGTGCCCCTATGCAACCACCCCCACACCCCCTAATACTCACTTCGCTCGCCAATTGACAACTCCAGCCTAGCCTATCGGCTGGCGTTCGTTCTAGTGTATTAGTTGTTGACAATCAATCTTCTGCCAATCTCTCGCGAAGACCCTGCCTGCATTGTTAAAGCCGTTGGAGCTCTCTTCGCCTGGAGCACCTAAGCGCTCGAACATCATCATCTTCCAGCTGGGCTCCAACTCCTCAAGCAAAAGCACGATGTGGTAAGCGCCTCTTTCGCTTTCTCGCACAGCAAACAAACGGCCATGCACGGAGCGAGACTTCACCATGTTTTCCTAAACCCCGGTGGCATATCCACATGATCAATAATCAACCAATCACAAATCGAAGGCCTGCAATCACATTTGTGTGTTTTGTTCGACGTCACAGAGAGTGCACGTTATGTACAGTACTGGACGCGCACGGGTACTCAATGGCCAGCCAGTGTCCTTCAGCATCAGCCCAACCTCAAATCAGAAACCCCTGTTGCCTTGCAATTTACAAGGATTTCAAGACACTTGATTTCCCGCTTGTGCTGCTACCCCCTAGACGAGTTGAAAACTCGGGCAATTTAGACAAAGCAGTTGACTGATGTTTTTCATTCTTCCTTGCCAAGGTACGGTCGCGCTCATGACACCTGCGCCAATAAGGATCACATCCTTGGCGTGTTGTTGTGCAAGCAAAACAGCAGAAGAAAACAAGCTTGAAGCATATAAATAATCTTTCATGATCTATTACTCCAACTGGTCTGATAAAACATCTATATCCGTGATCAAGTCCAAGAATCCACTTCGCGCTCCTTCGGCGGAGCACCTCCACAAATCCCGGAGAAGCATCCTGAGAGAAGAGAGGAAGCAATTCCAATGCGCATTGGACCCAAAGAAAGGTGACTGTGAATCATCGCTAGTAGGTTGGAGGCCATCACTATTTGGATGGAGGCCATTGCTGCTGGGGGGCAGGCCATTGCTGTTAGGTGACTGTGAATCAAGGTCTCCAAGAAAGGTGACTCGAGCGACTTGCAGGGACCGCATGGATTTCAAATGTGTTTCTGTTGTGTATTCCAAACCATGCTGACATTCCAAAAGCAATCAAAACACTCTGTACAGTGCCTGTAAACACTCTCCAGGCGCTGTCTAGAACTAGTGAGATTTACTAGCTCTTGCTAGTAAAGGCACATGTTTGGCATCGTTTAGCCAAGAAGACATGTTGTTTGTGGTTCAAACACACTCAAAACCCCAGACTTGGTTCTGACAGAGATGGGAAGAAACTTCTTCCAGGGACGGTCTAGAATGTCTTCATGTCGAGCATCCAGGTGCTGACTTGGGCTTCTCTACTCGCATGGAGCTGCCCTTGAAGTTTCCGCCCAACCTTGCACTTTTCTCACAGCACTGCGCAGTACGTTGCACTCTGAACTTGTAAACAAGAGCATGCAGCATGCCTGAAAGAAGGTGTATTTTGGTTATTGAACACATTTGTGTGCATGCTCTGAACATGATGGGATCCTACTGGTGATTATGGTGATCAGTCGCTTCGCACATCCTTCATCGGCTGAATGTGCTCTCGCACCATTCATTTCAGGATTGCTACCCATAATTGAGCAAGGACGCTTCTTGGGGCTCCTGGCCTTACTACTAGAGCAAGAAGCTACTAGGGGCTCCTGGCATCGCTACTAGGAGCAAGGACGCTACTAGCTACAGTATCTAAATCATGATCCGTGGCTGGTGGACATGTCAGGAGATCTTCAGTCAAGACTCTGATTGATCGAATCATCCTCGGTGTCAGCACTCCAAAATTCGGTCAAGTACAATGGGCCCACCAAAAGCATCCGAATCTGTTTGAACAGAGAACAAGCAGGGCCCCTTGATGACTCACCTTGAGATGTAAGCGATCCCTTCTTCGTTTTATATAGTTCCCTGAAAAGCCGTGGCACGTGTCTCTACGCTCTTGATTTCAACAGTCCTTTATCGGCATGGTTGTATTGTTCCCTTTGCCATTGGCAAAGAAAAGTCCCAATCAAGGACCTGATAAGTTCTCTTGGTTACTAACCACTTGCAATACAGGCATACAATGAAGCAATATCTAAGTAAGGGCTGCTAGAATAAGACAAGCCGGTCAACCCAATTTACAATGCTGACCCAAAGGACAATATTCCGGTTACATATCATATCTTGAACAGTTTTGAGCAACAAAAATTTGGGCAGCGTGTCACACTTGGACAATGTGCCACGAGATGCGATGAATTTGGCGCTGCCAAGTTGAAACTTGTCACGAAAGAGTTGGAGGGGTCAGGCTACGGTCTCAAGAGCGTTTCGACCAAGAGGCAGCAGCGGCTGACAAACGTTTTTCCAAGCCTTTGCCAGCAAAGCGATCTGTCTCAGCTTAAACTTGTTCAACCAAGGTCTCTACATCAAATGAAGACAATGCGCTGAAAAGTGGGATACCTGCTAGATACAGGTTCTGGATGGTTCTGGATGCTCTTGTCTTCCACAAACGTTGTCAAAAGTTCAGTCGGACGACAAAGTCATTCTACCAGGAAGCTGACTGCAACAAATGGCTTTGAGGAGTCGGCCTTTGTAAATCGTGTGAGGGCGACAGGTGATTTCCACCCTTGGACCTGGAAAGCCAATCACATGAGGTTGTGAAACCTTTCCTGTCAAGTGGCTGACCATGATGTGTCCGGTGAGGTTAGGACAAAAAATGGCGGCTGACTTGAAATACTGAGTGGCTGCGGGCAAATAATTTGTTCAACATCCACAAAGGAGGAGTCAAAAAATCGCAAAAGAAAAATCAAACGAGTGTTAACAGTTAACAGTGGACACAAAGGCAGATGCACGCCAATGCATACATTGGAATACAATGGGCAGGACACACCAATATGGTGAGACAAAGGCCAAATTTACCTAGGCTGGCTAAAAAGACAAGATCAGCATCACGTGGCATACAAACAAGCCGTGTTCAGGTTGAGGCGTGCAATGTGTCATGACGACCAATGTTGCTAAATCAGCTCTGCTCGGATGTTTGTTGCGGCCCCAATTTCTGAGCAAACGAATGTGTGATCATTGGCATGGTCCACCGTTTCAGTGGTAAGTGATAACTTGTCTCGCGTCTTCACAAAGAGAGTGGGTCTAGCTACAACTTTGGTACAACGCCCAAAGACTGGCTGTTCATATATACAAGGAAGCAAAGCCAATTCTCCCTCAAGTCACTTGCTATCGAAAGGGTGGTTGTGAATCGCTGCTAGTTAGGATTGCTAACGTCAAAGGGACTTTTGCTGCAAACAAGGAGGCTTCTGAAATTCTTGTGGATCAAACAATGATGCCACTGTCTTTGAAGGTCTGCTTAAAACAGTCAGTCTTCGATGCAATGTCTCCCTGCAGGATGCCACCTACAACTTTGGATGTGGCATATCTGCCCTGAGTACCTTCCATGGGAACCGCAACCGTGTGTATCAAACAATGGCCGCGGTTCCCGTGTTCAGATTATACCCAACAAACTTTTGACATCTTATGTCAAAATTGCTGCGGACATCCATGACCATAAACACGTCGAGTCTAGGGGGTGCCTCCATGGCATGACTTCTTTGCCACACAACCGAGTTCTTTTCTCGATGTGTTTTTGCATGGTGTGCAAACGTGTTCTGTGTTAATACTCCGCAATCATTACTACCACCAAGCATCACTAGTACACAACTCGACTCGATCCCGAAGGTTTTGCAGGTGTTACACCAACGAGGATAAGTTGGATAAGAGTTATGACCTTTCTGCTGCACACATGCTACACGGCGTGACATTCGTTCGCAAAAGAGCTGTAACAAACCTGGAAGCAATGGATAGCAATTGAGTTGAGTGCTCCATCATGCTAAGAAAATGGACTTCAGTATTTGCCAACGGCATTCACATATGTTTGGTGCGGCACACAATATGATACCCATGATGAACAATCCCATAATTGGTCATAAAAGCAATGGGCAGAATCACTCGGGAAAGCGTATGAAAGCGTGTTATCATCAGCAATGGAACGAACGGAACACGTCGATTGCGTACTGATGAGGAAGTCCTTTTCCAATTTTGCACGAATACTGATTTATTGATTTATTGCATTAAGGCAACCTTTGCATTCTGACGACTCTCGATCTCGTGTAATCTGTAGAAGTAGGCACCTATGCTCACTATCCATACATATTATCTGATATGTGTAAAACAAATCGTTCAAAAAGAGGCAACTCAGAGCTCAGAGGCTCAGACACTCACTTCCAGCTCCGCTCCTTTCCAAGGAACTGATTTGAACAACAGAACTTTGTACGTACCTCCTGTCATACATACCTGGCGATCCAGGACCCTCAGCCACATACCATAGTAGTTCCTGCATATCTACAAGCAACATCAAATTGCCGATGAAAACCGGAAGTTGCAAATTGCACATTTCTCCCAAGTACATCATGAAGGCTACTGATGAGAGCCCTCTGTTCAATCCAACCCACAACTCAACTCTGCGAAGGTTCAAGATCCAAAAGGCAATATTGCGCTCTTGTTACACAGCGTATCAATTTCCTTGAAGCTTCATGAGCTTGTGGTTCTGAGCTCTTTCCGTCTCTTGAATCACCTAGTAGTAAAATTGAAGCTGGATCGGATTTGAGGTAATACTCCACTCCCTGAAATAGCCATGGAAGCAAACAACGGCCCTTTGGATATATTACAAACAAGTGGTTTTCCACTTCCATGATTGTTTCAGGGAAAGGTCAAGGACTGTTTCGTGGATCCCACCCTGAAATCTCTGGCCATGTTCATCCCCTCCACCTGTGAGACCACGACATGCGACACGGAGCTACCTTGGATGCCGCATTCATACATGATGTTGCAGTCACATAAACGGTATCCTCCTGGGAGTCTGGGAGGAGGTGCTACAGGAGTTGATTGAGAGTGTGTGGCAGATGCAGCACCACGACCAGAAGCCAGCATCCTCAAACTCAAGGAAGAAAGAACGCATCCTAAATCATCTTAACAACAATTGTCAGTCAAAAACTATTGTCAGAATGGTGCACCTGCCATTAGTGCCATCTGACCCTCTCCTTGGGACGGGTGCACGAAGATTGCCTGATCAACTAACAGAAGGGCAATCACTTGCAAAGAATGGGGATATTGGGAAAAACAACTTGTGTAACTTGTGTTTGTATAGAAACTCTATCTTAGCCCTGTTGACTGACAGCCGTGTCTGTTCAAAGCGCAATTGCATGCCATTACTCGATTGCTGAAGAAACGCTTTGTTTTGATGCACCTGAATGGTGGCAGTGTTGCTTGAGCCTTGGGTGGCAAAGGTGCAAATAACTCAAAACAAGTACATTTGCTGGAAGCAAATTACTTGCCAAAGGTTCTGCAAGACTAGCCATCAGCCACATATTGGAATTGACAGTGACAAGATATTGTAATCTGCTCTCTTGAGGAACCCACGCCAGCGAGCACTTGGGACAACGGCTGCCTGATGCCAAAAACTGGGCAAAGGATGGAGAAGACAAAGAACACGAGGATCTCGTAAACAACCAAAGAATTTGACGATGAGCCGAGCTGAAAATTAATGATCCGGTGCTGAGATCCAGTGGGGCTGAACAAAGCTGCGGTGAGATGCGCTGAGATTAGTTAGGTGGGATGGGGACAGAGCAGAGAGGCAGGAAGAGAGAGGAAGTCAGGAGAGATCAGTACAAGATCAATTTGTGTTGTAGATATCAAGATTATATGCCATAGAACCCGAGATCATGCTAAATCACTCTAGCAAAAGGGGTACACCAGGCAACTGTTCCATTGCACCCTTCAGTGATCGAATTCTCGGCTGAGGTCCAAACAATGAAGTTGGCTGAGGAGCGCACAAGTGAGGTTGTGGTTGCCAGGCTATGGGTGACCTCAACCCATGTCTCTTCTCGTGCAAACATGCTTGAGTTACTCCAAGCTATTGAGAGTAGGAACATGCTACTAGGTTGCAGGCCATCGCTATTAGGAGCAAGAAGCTACTAGGGGCTCCTGGCCCTACTACTACGAGCAAGAAGCTACTAGGAGCTCCTGGCATTGCTACTAGGAGCAAGAAGCTACTAGGGGCTCCTGG